TGTGTCAAAGATCTCCAAACTCATATAAACGATTTGAAACGATTAAAGCTTAACAAGTTTATTTTGGGATATTTTTTAATATAAATAAGTATATTTATTTTATTTAAATATAAGAGATTGTAGAATAGCTGGATATATAGTTTGTTTTGGATACATGTATCTTTTTTCTATGCCTTATTTCATGTTCAAAGTATATTTTATTCATTTTATGTTTTATACACCGCAAAACTGCTCTTAAGGTACACAGAGAAATGCTGAATAAATGCATTGTGTACCTAAAAAAATTTCATTTGAATAATTGTGATTTCAATATTGACCAAAATAATCGTGATTGTTTTCCATAACTGAGCAGCCCTGATATGTGCTGTCCCTTTACAAATAAATAAAATAAGAATTAAAGGTGCATGGTATGTCATTAAACCTTTCTATCTCCATGGAAACCAAACCAGACCAAGTTACTGATCAGATCTTTGGAAAGGCAAACCCACTCAGTCAAAATGTATGTTTTTCTGGGTATTTTTGAGCTATAACACCCATTTATAATTTTATAAATGTAAGGAAGAACTGTTTAATGTCATACTGTGGAACATTCCAGGCAGAGCAATGACAAATCTACAGAAACAAGCAGGTGACGGACCCCCAACTAAAAATTTACACAGTGCACCTTTAAGAAATCCATCCTCTTCTGATTATCTGGGAGTGGGTGACGAGGCAGCAGTTTTCCCTCACCCCAGACACTTCCTCCAGCTCTTCTAGGGGGACCCCCGGGCGTTCCCAGGCCAGCCGAGAGACTTAGTCCCTCCAGCGTGTCCCCGGGGCCTCCTTTCGAGACCTTGGTTGTTCATATTGTTGCACACCTAGTAATCTTTTTTTGTGATTTCACTCTAGTTTTGTCATGGTTTGAACTTTGCTTTGTGCTTTTAATTAAACACATAAATTCCCATTTTACTCTTTTACAGGAGACAATATGAACAGAACTGTTACAGTCTGAGGCAATTTGAGTGATCAGATAGTGTTCCGTTTTGCCGTCTTGCTAGTATTTTGGGTTAAAAGCATACACGTATACTAGAAATACATTTATTATGACCTTTTGTTTTGGCTATTATTTATGGATGATGTTTTAAGATCCATCTATTGTCTCTATTTTTACTACCAATGTCTTTCCAGCACAATGCGTCTCTGTCCATCTAAAAATACTCCTTTTATCCTTCTATAGAGGGTTTTAAAGCATCGGACGCAGCTTTGTATCCATCGTGTCATATGAAATAATCGCACCTTGATGTCTACATTTCGAGGCTGCTCCTTTGTTTTTATTCTTCACAGTTCCCCACCAGTCGCTGTCACGTTCAGGTTCTGTTTGAGATGTAAATATTAAAGGGCTCATGTTACGCTATTTTCTGATCTATGCTATAATGTTGTTTCCTCATCACAAACATAGCTGGAGTTGTGTTTTTTGTTTCATTCACACATCTGTAACACACAAATCCCGCATATTTACTTTCTTCTCTCAAGCAGAAAACACTCAAGTTGTCAAGTGGTATAGTACAGGAAGTGCCCCACTCTGTATTTAAAGCACATAATGTCCTTGAATCATTTGAATAATATCAGGAATTGCCAATTTCTACTGAAAAAAAGGTAAAAGCTGTAGCTGTTAACAAGGTGGAACGGAGCATTTGGAGTTTTTCAGACTACTCAAACACGTGTGAATGAAACAAAATGCAACTCTGGTTTCTGATGAGGTAACAACATTATATCATAACGCTCACAAGAATCCATTTTGTGTAATACAGGACTTTTAACTGATTTATTATTTATTACTGTGTGTGTTTAGTAAGCACGATCAAAGCGTTTATGTGTGGTGTATATGGGACGAGAAGTGTGCCAGTAAAAATGCAGTGCAATGTTTACAGAAGTACAAATCATATGGGATGTAATCAGGGGCAGAAGATGTAAAGGCCTGTGGGAGAGAGAGAGGGAGGGAGGGAGGGAGGGTTACGCTGGCGATGTGGGGTTGACATGTGATAGTCATATGGAAGAGGAAATAGGGAGCAGTCACCTCCACACAATAGACTGGTTGTGATGGCGTTTTCATTGTCACCAAGCTGGGTATTGCAGTTTTGACATGCTCATCGGAAAATATATGATTCTGAATGTTAACAGATTGCATTCAACAATACAGTAGCATGTGACAATACCTATATAACAATATCTATAGTGTTTTGTTTCTATATAGGTATTGCTATTTCAGAAACGCATTTTGCACTCTGTTTTTATTACTTCACATACTCAAAATTAGATGATATTTATCTACATGTTTCAGGACTGAAAGATTTGGTGATAATTGTGATTTAGTTTATTTTTTCTGATTTTGTTCAAAGTTCACATTCTAAACACGTCCAGGAGATCTGACAAAAAAACTGAAAGAAGTGACAACGAAAATAAGAATCACAGTTCAAGACATGTAAAAAAATATATATATATTGAACATAAAATGGTGAAGGAAAGGAGACAAATTGAGGCTATTTTCAAGTACTGGCTTCCTTCACGCCCATTGGACTAAGTGAGTGTGAAGTCATCCACAGTGTTCAGCTCCAGTCGAATGAAGCTCCCGACAGTGAGTCCTGGTTCAATCCTGATTTAGTCCTGGTTCAGTCATGGTTCAGTCCTGATTTAGTTCTGATTTAGTCCTGAATTAGTCCTGACTATTCCTGGTTTAGTCCTGTTTTAGTCCTAGTTCAGCCCTGGAATCAGTCCTGGGTTAATCTTGGGTTAGTCCTGGGTTAGTCCTGGTTTAGTCCTCGTTCAGTCCATGGCACATGTGGCTCAAAAGTGCTTCATCTCGATCAATGTTTCTTCTGCTCAGTAAATGCCTGTGATGTGATGACAGTCGAGTCGGGTCTGTGAATTCGTATTTGCACTGAAGAAAGCATAACTGTTTCATTTCAATTCATGATTGTAAATCTTGAAGTCGTAACTTTTCAATTTGTATTCTCATGGATGTTTCAGTTAGAATGCTTTTAATTTGTGTTTGATTTATGACGGGTATGGGCGGGTAACGGGTGAAATGTCTGGGTCCTGGTGGGTGCGGGTTTAACTTTGATATAATCACGGGTTAATGCTGAACTGTGCAGGTGTGGGTCTCCAAAAATGGACCTGTGCAAGACTCTAATGTAGAGCAGTTTACTGTGAACATTTCAAGACCAAAATGACGAGGCTTACAGCAGCAGTGACATAGAGGGGGTGACAGTTTTTCAATGTAAAGTCAATTGGATCCAGAGTCGATGAAGCTAGAAGCGCCCCCATGCTCATTTCCTATTTGGAACGTTGGCTATGTCCATTTATATACACACAAGTCGACGCTCACACCCAGCGCTTTTCTGCACAATTGTCTCATTTTCAAATATGGGCCGATTCTCTAATATGGGATCCTCCTGCCAACATTACACAAGCATTCAAATTGCCTTTTCACCCTCTCACTTCCTCTGCTTTTATCAATATTGAGAGCCACATTTGCTGTGTGTTACCACCAGTGCTACAATGTGAACCGAGTGAGTGCTTTGCTTCCTGTTATGTAACACTTATTGTAAACTACCACTCATACCTATTCACACCTCCACAAAGACCCAACACATCCTCAACCACCTCCATTGTGATCTATCATGACTCATATTAGACCATTCAGACCTTGCATAATGGCTGACCACAACTACCCATCTGACCACAAGCGGGATTGTCTGAATGAGGGTAAAGATATAATCAACTGTAAATTGCTTGAAACACTGGTATGGTCTGTAGGTGCAGAAATATATATGTATAATTAAAGGTCCTACATTACTCTTTTGAGATTTAAGTCATGTTAAAATGTTGTTTCCTAGTCAGAAGCATACCCAGAGTTGTGTTTTGTTTCATTCACATGCATTTCAGTAACCCCTTATTATCAGTCTGTCTGTCTACGTCCACACAACAGCTCTATTTTATTTTTATTTTTTTTGCGGGTAAAAAAAAATTGCATCCACACACGTGTCGGCTCAATAAATATTCACGTCTATATGACAACGGAGCATACTACAATACTACAAAGATTAAAGTTCTTCCTGCGTGGGGTTCCTTTCTGGTCACGTGGCGATGACGTGGTTGCTACATCATCGTATTCCAAAAACTGCGATTTCTCCACTCTGGAACTCGTTGTCAGATAACACCGTATTCGCCCACCCGAAACGCCAGCTCCATGTGGACGAAACACCAAAATGAATAAAGACGTCACCATTTTGACCAAAAAAACGTTGTTGTGTGGACATGACCTACATCTCCAAAGTTAAAAATGCTCTGTTCCACCTTGTGATGTCATGAGGAGATAGTTTTCAAGTTTTACCTTTAGTTCAACAGAGATTGGCAATTCCAGGTCTGAAATTGTCCAAATAATTCTCATGAAGATGTATGACATTTAAAAACACAGTGAAGCACTTTCTGTTTTACTAAATGACCTCACAAGGTAGAACAGAGTGTTTTCTGTTTGAGAGAAGAACTCAGCTTAAATATGCAGGATTTGTGTGTTAAACATGTGTGAATGAAATAAAACACAACTCCAGGTTTCTTTGTGATGAGGAAACAACACTATAACACCAGAAAAGAGCATAATATGGGCCCTTTAATTTATGTTATTAGTCTAAACAATCACTCACACAGCTATTGTTTTCTATTGTTTATTTTTGTTGTCGATCTATAAAGCTTGCATTGGTCATAATATTAATCCAGCATTACTATTCTGCGCAGGCTCTTCTCCGCATTAGAATCATATTATCAGTCATTCTTTTCTCTGAGATTTTATTTCTGGAACAAAGTCAAGGCCCCACTAAAATGTGTTTAGTTTTCCAAACAAACTCACTGTAAAGGGCTGCCTCGAGTCATAAATCAGACTCTACAGCTCTCCTCAAAGTGTAATTTACTCATTCTCCGTGCCACTTAATTCTGACCTCTTCTTCTTCTCTCTTATTCTGCAGTTATCGCTGACTCCCTGACCGTCACAGCCCCCGCTCAGACTCTGTCCAAAGTGGAGGGGGACACGCTGCAGCTCACCTGTGAAGTATCTCGTAGTACTCTTCAGCACACACACTTGTCTGTGGGCTGGTACCTGCGCTCCCCCGAGGACGCCTCTGCCCCGCCTCAGGAGCTGGTCACCCTGTCTCGGGACTTCGTGCTTCGCTCCGGTGGGCCGTACAGACAGAGGATGGCCGCGGGGGACCTCAGACTGGATAAGACCAGCGCCACAGCGTACAGGCTCACCATACACAAGCTGCAGCCCGTGGACCAGGGGCTGCTGTACTGCCAGGCCACCGAGTGGATCCAAGACCCCGACGACAGCTGGTTCGCCATGACGCGCAAACAGAGCGACAAGACCCAGCTACGCATTCAGCCCACAGGTGAGGACAGAGGGTTTCTCATATTATCACAGAATATTTTTTTACCTTTTGTTAGAGGAGTGCAAAAATATCATTATTTGGTGATATTAAATTTGGTGATTCAGTGGCCCATGAAAACAGTACTGTATCAATATATCAGCAAGAGTATTTGAAGAGTTCATTGGTAAAAACAGATAAGCACCATTTGAAAAAGTAATCAGAAGCTTGTAGTTTACTTTTAGTATAGTAATATTTTCAAAAAACAAATGCACACTTAACAAAAATTATTCTGCTAAAATATATTGCAAAGTATCGTGCTATATATCGATAATCTCATGTATTGATATATTGTAATAATATCGTATTGTGAGCCGTGTATCGTATCAAATCGTGGGGGAGCCTGTGATTTCCAGCTCTACCCTATGAATTAAGCTAATAAGCCTCTAATATAAGAATCTCTAGTCTAAGTGTAGTCAGTATTTCAATCATGGTATTAACCAAATCCAATTTATAAGATTAGACTTAATTATTAATTCCTCTGGCTGAGAACTTGTGCCTGGATCTTGTAGATAACGAAACAGACAGCAGATGTGCTTGATTTTTTATTTATTTATTGAAGATAGAAATTTTAAGTATAAAAGTACAAGAGATTTTTTTTTGCAGTATACTGTCATTAGGCTATGTCAGTTTAAAGGTGCATTGTATAACTTTTCTGGTAGAGGGTCCATCAAATGCTTTTCTCCATAGTTTCACAGTATTAAACCTTTCTATTGTTATGGAGATCAAACCAGATCAAGTTACAGGTCAGATCTGTGGACAGACAGCCCTGCTCACAGTCAGAATGCTTGGTTTTCTAGGTATTATTGAGGTATAAAATCACCTGTAATTTAACAAATGTAAGGTAGAGTTGTTTAATGTCATAATGTGGAACATTCTAGGCAGAGCAATGACATCTCCATGGAGGAAAGTATTTGACGGACCCTCCACCAGAAAAGTTACATAGTGTTTTTTTTCCAAGAATTAGCTCTTCAGGTAAAAATATAACTATAGACTTATTTATTATTATTATTTATTTAGAGTACAGCAGTAAAACTAGACCTGGGCCTGAAGATTTAGCTTAGAATCACTGACCTATAAATGACAAACATTTGTGCTGAAATTCTATTACGCAGTACTTTGATAGTATCGTTAAAAATGGTCCTTTTGACAGATTTGCACACACTTGTGGTTTTGGCTCTGTGATTACCGATGAGTATCTGGCACTAAGCTCATTATCTCACTAAAAAGGGCTTAACTCAACCTCCAAAGACCCCCCACTTTTTTATTTGTGTCTGTTTGATGAGCAATGTTACAGCACATCCAAGAATCACTGGAGCTGCTCTAAACTGTGTAGGCGTCCACTCCACAGACTTATGGCTTTTGCATACACAGTGCCGTCTCCCATGGCAACTATCATATGGCCCTGACATTTAAAAACAAAGATTTTATTGTTGTGACACTGTATGATACGAAGTCTTATGAGGTAAATCACTGTATAGGAGAAAGTCGGCACTAGCTTTGCAAGATTTATCACAATCAAAGCAGAAAATACAATTCATGCAATTGCTGGGTTTCAGATAACATCACAACCTTCTTTATTCAACACAGATGGGGGGAGGTAAAAAGAATAATGTTCAGCTGCAGATTTTTGTAACAATTTAGCTTGGTCATGAATAGAAATGATCAGGTTCCACAGTTGGGGATTTACCTTTCTAATACTTCATGGCAGAGTACAATGTTCAATCAATAGAAAAAGCAAAGTACAATCAATAGGAAAAACTGTCTCTTGCCTCATCTGGAAGTATGACATCCACCAGTATAGTTAGACATGGAGATGATTCAAGATACCAGTACAGTACAGAAACATGTATTTAATACCTAAAAATATGTTTCTTTTTATACCTGGTCAGTCCTGAGAGAAAAGGTCTCACCATAAATCAAAAATGTACCTTATGAAATTCATGCACATTATTTCTCTGTGTTGTTATTCTAGAGCAGGGATTCCCAAATGTTCAGGGGAGACCTCCACTGTAAAATGAAACTGGCGTCTGTAATCATTTCAAGTTACAAAGCATTCAGAGGATCTATATTACACAAAATTGACTCCTGTGAGCTTTAAGCCACTTTATGGAGTTACCTCCTTAACAAAAACATATCTGGAGTTGTGTTTTGTTTCATTCACACATGTTTGAGTAGTTATTAGGGGGGGTTATTAGTCTCTCTACATGTCTAAAGTTTAACATGCTCTGTTCTACTTTGTGATGTCTTGTAGTGGTAGTTTTGAAGTTCTCAGCAACCTTTTACATTTTGTTCAGTAGAGAGTGACGATTCCAGGTCTGAAATCACTCAAATGATTCTGATGTTGATGAAGGTCTGTGGAGTTTAAAAACACAGTGGAGCACTTCCTGTATTAACACATGACATCAGAAGGTGGAACTGAGTTTTTTTCTGTTTGAGAGCAGAACTCATCCTAAATGTGCAAGGTTTGTGTGTGTGAATGACACAAAACACAAATCCAGGTATGTTTTTGTTGAGGAGACAAGATAATAACAGATCAGAAAATAGCATATGGGATTTCATTGTAAAATGTTTATATTCTTATTTATTTAGTTCTTTATTGTGCTATTTGACTTGCTATTCACAGTGTCCAATTCATGAAAACAGATTTCTCAGAATGTGATAAAGAGTCTGGAAACATTTTTATATACAAACGTAAATATATTAGTTTATTAAATTGCTCTAAATGCAGAGAGGGAAATGGTTACGCAAGGACATGAGGAAATCACACAGAGAACAAACAGCACAGTGAGTCAGAGGTGAGGACTTTGGCACTGCTAAAATTACACAGTTACTGTTTAAACAAGCTGTGGCCATTTGAACAAAAGCAACCTGATTTCACTTTTCATTTTTAAATAGGAGAAACTTTTGAGACCATATCTGAATGTAGTGGAGCGTTCGTACCAATACTGTAAGGCTGAGCAGTTTTAGGACATATCTAATTAATACTGAGTTTTTAAAAATCAGGATACTGTGAGTGCACGTTTTAAACTCTCCCGTGAGCGTTACAATTGAGACAAAATTGGAATATTTACAAACTACTTAACAAATAGTAGTTAATAATCATAGTATTAACATTTAAATTAGCATTTCAGATTTTAGGTTTTCTTACATAATTTGGAGATTTTGTTGTTAAAGGGCCCATATTTTTTTTTATTTTCTGGATCTATTTTTCCAATCTCTACAGCACAAAATGTAAAGGGTATCTTGAAAACTATGGGTCAGTCCACCTCAGTTCACCCACTGAGTTAAACACTACTTTGTCAAATTTTGATGAAACATGGTTTATAGATAAATCATAGCCAGAAAAGCTAATGTTTCAAGTTTTAGTTTGATCGGACCAATGGTTTCCGAGATATCACCATTTCATTTTTTCACAGTTTTGCATGGTCGCCAAATTTCAAATTTCATTTACTCAGCAACTACTGGTCCGATATCAAAACTGAAGGTATCCCTGGAAAGAGGACATCATAAGGAATCAAAGTCTTAAGATGACTAAATTATTATTTTATTTTTTTTCATGTCATGAGGGTCGGGTCCCTTATTGTCATTTTCAAGGTCAAAATATAGGTCAAAAGGTAATTCATCTCAAAAGTACTCAAATGCAAAAAGAAAATTCCTTATGATGTCCCCTTTCCAGAGATACCTTGGCTTTTGATACCGGACCAGTAGATTGCTGAGTAAATGCAATTTGAAATTTGGCAACAAGGCAAAAAATTTTAAAAATGACACTGCGATATCTCAGCAACTTGCTCCGATGCTAAAAATTTGAGAGTTTGGTTTTCTTGGCTATTTTCTTTGCAACTGGACAATGTGAGTGTTCAAACTGCAATTTGTTTGGGAGTGAATTGAGGTGGAATGACCCTTACCACTTCATGTCATCACACGGTGGAAAAGAGCATTTTCAGCCTCAGAGATGTATAACAGACTAATGTGGAGTTACTCAAACATGTGTGAATGAAACTAAACAAACTTCAGGTCTGTTTTTGAGGCGGTAACAACATTATAACATGGCTTAAAGCTCAAAAGAGTAAATTTTGCGTAATATAGGACCTTGAACAGAAAGCATTCTTAAATATTGAAATTTATTATATTTGTGATAATCTTGGAGCTCTAAAATACAGTTCTGCTGCTTCTTTTGATGGTATTTCTGGACGGGAATAAGACCATAACACAAGAAGTCCATAGATCAGGATATATGATAGGGTTGTGCAAGAATATCGATACTAAATTTGGTGATGTAGTACCATTACTGTGGACTGCTGCATCAATATATCGAGTATTTTTTGGTTATTTTAGCATGTTTTTGTGACCGCTCTCTAGTTTTGTTGCTTAGTTTGCGGAAGGAAACTTGTTTATGCAATATACTTAACATATTCTTCTGTATTTTATATTAACTTAGCACACTTTTTTATTTAGTTCTTTAAAAAACAGCAATATATCATGTGCATTATATCGATTATCACATGTATTGTATGTTAATATCGTATCGTGAGCCACCATGTATCGGGCCCTGTGCTTCCCAGTCCTAGTATATAATGATGCATGGTTGAGAGTAGGTCAAGAATGTAAAGGAATACAATAGGTCAAGTGTGTAACACGGAGTACATAGAGGAGTATGTGGGATGCTAGAGCGTGTCTTATGATAATGATCTAATAAACTGTCAGCCCTGAGGCGCACTGGAGCCGAAACAAAGATGGCTCCTCTCCACCTCAGATAACCCTCCCACTCCCTCCCGCTTTGGTCCTGCTTTCCCCAGACACCAACACAGCTCCTCACCACTGCACCGATCTCCTGCTCTCCGTAAAAAGCGTCTCTTTGTAGTCGTCCAAGAACGGGCCTCATAGGCGGGTGATAAACTGCCCTGGTATTAGCTCAATTACGATGGCAGCACGCGGCGGAGACTGTCTCGTGCCAGTAAATT